GTACTGGCTTCAATCCATCTATTGGAGATTGTGATCATCTCTCTAATTTACCCAGCTGTAAGCCAGACAGCAGTAATGGTAAGTTTTTTCTACACGGATGTTTAGAAACGATGTCTGTTCATGTCTGGCATTTAGCAATTGTGAGTACGATATATAGACACAGCTTTATGGAACAACAATCACTGGTTAAAGTTTTATGCAACGTTTCGACGTGTTTCCCCTGTCGTCCTCAGGCACATAATGACAATAATAAAGCTGTGTCTATATATCGTACTCACAATTGCTAAATGCCATTCAAAGACTTTGTTCTGGTAGATATTGTCAAGATTTTTTGTTTCTGCTACTGGTTTTAATCCAACTATTGGAAATTGTTACCAACCTCTACGGATTCATGACACGGGGGTTCAGAAACAATGTCTGAGATCTCACCAACATGCAAATGGAAACCATCTTCTCCAATTTGGATCATAAAGAGTCTTCACTTCCCAAATCAACGTTGACGTATTTGACTTAATTCAAGGGAAATAACTCAAAATCGAAGTCGCCTAAGACCAATATACACATGGATACCATGTTTCATCAAAATTGCATCTTAGCTTTAACTTTAACTTTAAGTCAAGGGCAATAACACAAAACGGTTTGTCGAAAAATCGAATAAAAGCTGTAGCCTCACAAGACGGACAAGAGTGACGGCGGTGACAGTATACATCATTATAATGTGGACGTATAAAATTCAATCTTAAAAGCGAAAGTTTGAGATTTCTGTGTAGAAAGGGATGAGAACTTGTGTCTATTCTATTCTGTATTTATTAGTTCAAAATCCGTCGCAAATATTCCCGTTAAAAGTTATTTATAATTTGGTATCTTGCAGCTTGTACTGAGACTGAACTTGTAGAAGATCCTGATAATTGTACACGATACAGGCAATGTGTTAATGGTGAATATATATCAAGAGCGTGTGCTCTTGGTACTGGCTTCAATCCATCTATTGGAGTTTGTGATCATCTCTCTAATTTACCCAGCTGTAAGCCAGACAGCAGTAATGGTAAGTTTTTTTCTACACGGATGTTTAGAAACGATGTCTGTTCTGGTAGATATATAGACACAGCTTTATGGAACAACAATCACTGGTTAAAGTTTTATGCAACGTTTCGACGTGTTTCCCCTGTCGTCCTCAGGCACATAATGACAATAATAAAGCTGTGTCTATATATCGTACTCACAATGCTAAAGTGAT